AATTCAGTCCTAATTAATACTAACAGCTTATAATTTTTTTTTTTGTCATGACAGCTCTGTTTTGAAAGTCTTACTATAAAATAAAAAATTTTACATGCTATAAAAGATGAAGCTATAGCCATTTTTTGTTGAAAAAAAGGAAATATAAAATTTGACTAAATAAAAATAAAATATTTATGGAAATGAATATAGTATTTTATTAAATGAAATAGGAGTGGAATAACTCCCCACAAATCATTTCATTTTCATGCTTTTTCATCATAACAATACAATGGTGGGAAGAGTTACATTGCATGACCATTCATTATAAATCATGTATAATGCAATTATATTTTATTAAATTTTATTTGTATTCACATTATTTGGTAAGAAGATGGCAATGTTAATTGAAACTTTTGAGATATTATACCGCTTCATGCCGCCTGCGCTATCTCCCTTTTTCGTCATTGCTGGAATGGAAGTCTATTATCTCGTCTTTCTTTCATTCTTTCCTCTAGTAGATCTTGCACGTCGGCCTTGAGGTCATCCATATTTAAGTGGAGTTTCTGCTTTTAATCAACAGGTTGATATACGATATAACAAAAAAGACCATATGTTCAGTGTGTTTAGGATCACGATATAACAAAAAAATCATATGTGCAGTGTGTTTAAGAATTTGTCACAAACGGTTTTATTCTTCCTGTGGTTTTCTCTGACCAAAACAGTGATTGCTTTACATTGTTTATATCTAAACATTTTTTTATCCATCGGTACATATTTTAGATCCACTTTTGGTATGGAGTGTTGAATAAAAAATATTATAATCCATCCACTACAATAGTTTTTTTTTTTTTTTTTTTTTTTTTTTTTTTTTTTTTTTGTCTGCTAGTATAAAAAAATGACATAGTTTTTAGAGTAAAATACAATGGCACCTCTGAGATTTGGTAAAACGACAGTCAGATACAAAATAATCTATTTTTAGACAATGACATTCCCATTAAGTTTGATAAAATTGACAAAGACATCCTCACAATGATAAATTGACTTTATTACCGTTTGATATAAAATTGACAAATACAATTGACTTAAATACCCTTGGATCAAATAGGTTTAAATGAGAAATCCAATTTTTCTCTCTCCTTACTCTCTTCTTCTTTTTTCCCTCTCAAACCCTAACCCAAACAAGCATAATAGAGTGAAATGAAAAATCAATTAGAAGGAAAAAGCCCGAGGATATATAACAAATTTCTCTTTGCATATATATATATATAGACACACGCACATACACGCACATATATTATCACCATAAATCAGCCTCATTGCATATATCGCCGTCATCGCCGCATCATCATCACACCTTAATTGCCACAACCACCACCCCATGATGATGATCATCATCAATTCATCATCATCATCATCAAATGAACCACGGTGATGAGCAAGGAAGACGGAACTGCCAAAAATTTGTGTTATTCGCCAACTTTAAGACCTCTCTCCCTAGTATCGTGTGGCATCGTCTTACACAGAAAGAAAGAGCGCAGAGCCCCGGCCCGACCTGTAAGTCCAGTAACGTAAAGCGGGGAGTTGAGCCTGGACTGGAGAACCGAAGTCACTTTTGGAACTATATTTCCTACAGCTAACACGTGTCCAGTCCAGCGGGAACGCGCAACGCAAACGAACGTGAGCTGGAAACACTCCTTCTTTTTTACGAGGGCAGTCTGACTGTTTTTGCTGATTCTAAAGCTACTGCTCAAGCTGTCAAAGCGAATTTCTACCCTTAGACTGGATCTAGTTTTGATAGGTCAAACTGTTTACACCCTTATTTTCCACTTTCTAGCAGGAGATTACTTTGGTCGATTTCAATGGAAAGGTACTACCACATTCCAGTGGAAAGTCTTGGGACACATGGCAGCCAAGGAAGCAAGCGGTTACAAGTGGTTACATGCAAAGTTACGGGACACATGGCAGCCTAGGAAGTGGGTGATTACAAGTGGTTATATGCAAAGTCATGGGACACATGGCAGCCTAGAAAGTGAGCGGTTACAAGCGGTTACATGCAAAGTCATGGGACACATGGTAGCCTAGGAAGCTGGTCAATTCCAATAGAAAGTTACTACGACATTCCAGTACAAAGTCTTGGGACACATGCCAGCCAAGGAAGCAAGCGGTTACAAGCGGTTATATGCAAAGTCATGGGACACATGGCAGCCTAAGAAGCTGGTTGGTCCAATAGAAAGGTACTACGACTTTCCAGTGGAAAGTCTTGGGATATATGACAGCCAATGAAGCAAGCGGTTACATGCAAAGTTATGGGACACATGGAAGTAAGCGGTTATATGCAAGCTACTGTTACTAAACTCTATAAATAGGGCATAATATTGTAACTTAGAAGGTCTGCTCAACGCCAATCAAACTACGTATTTCAATACTATCTTTACTTTTAATTGCAATGCATTTTCAATATTATTAGTTTCAGTCCTGCACTTTACTTTTCATTAGATAATCTTACTTTCCAGTCAATTACTTTCTTAAGTAGTTCGTTCCTCCCTAGCCAGTTAACTTTCCCGAAGTCCTTATCAAAGGCAAAAAGAACCCGGAGGTAGTCATTCTAGACCTCTTCACAATTGCCTGGTCCTCGCAGTCTTCCTTCTGGAATATTGTTTGGATCTCTAATTGGAACTATTGCAGTTCCTGGCACGTCTACTCGGTTCCATCGGAACCGGCACCAGCTTTTTCAAGGCCAAACATAGTGGCACGCCCGGTGGGACATTTTGAACGGAGTGTTTCTATGGCGGGAGGAAAAAGACACGGCAAATCTGTTCAAAATCCTGCCGAAATTGAAGAGGAACAGGTTATTGAACTTCCTGATGAAAGTTCGCGTGCCGTTCCTGAAGAAGGAGAAAAACACGGCAAATCTTTTCAATATCTTGCCGAAAATTTTAGGGACCACGGTAAATCTTTTCAAGATTTTGCCGAAATTTGTAGGGAATAAGCTATTGAACTTTCACCTGTTTCTCTAGAAATTCAACTAGTAAGGCAGACAAGCATGGTTGAATGGAATGACTTCTGTGAATAGTTACGAGAGCAATTATAGAAGCCTTACTTAGTAGAAGGAAGTGGCTCCAAATCTCAAGTACAAACCCTTCCACGAGCTCATCAACCACCACCACCTATGGTGTCGATTCCACCAGCAGTGAAGTCGATTCCACCATCACTTTCATCGCAGATGCAAGTTCCACCTAGGGTGTAGAACCCTTTAGCAACAGTGAAGTCGATTCCACCGGCAGTAGCTCAACCACTTCCATCGCAGATGCAGGTTCCACCTAAGGTGCAAAACCCTTCAACAACAGTGAAGTCGATTCCACCGGCAGTAGCTCAACCACTTCCATTGTAGATGCAAGTTCCACTTGAGGTGTAGAACCCTCCACCAGCAGCAGTCCAAAAAGTTCAATTTCAGGTCTAGAATGTTCCACTTTCGAACATTCAGCAGCTTACGAGCACACCACCAAAAGCCTTTCCAATGGCATTCGAAATTGAACGTCCTCTAAGGAAACCTCCTGATCAAGGAGTAAATCCAATCCGTCGGAGGAGTATTCCTTTGGCAGACCTAAACCCACTTCCAGTGGTGTTTGGGGGGCATCTAATGACGAACTTACCCAAAGGGCCAGAAAATACAAGCCAACTTGCTGACTTTTTCCAGCAAGATTGTGGCTTGGCCATGAGGAAGGTCGACAAACCTTTCCATAGGAAGCCGTTATCATTTCTTCCATTGGAAGAAGATTTTCCACAACCAGATTTTCCTTCGGAAACGGCACAAGCTTCTCAATCGTTGTATATTCTTCCGCATGAAGAATATAACGATTATAGTATTTTTCTTCTAGTTTTGGAAAAAAATGCTACTATGTTATTTGTCCCAAATTCAGATCTTCTGAATTTTGGGGAGCAAAACTTGGCCAATCAACTATGTATTTGGCCTGAAGATGTACAAATTTGTTCTCCTCGTAAACCTGCAGACCCCGGGGGGCAACGAAATTGGACGTGAGGCTTCAAATCTTCGTTTTAGTTAAATAAAGCTGCTTAAAAGTTTTCGGCCTAATGGTACATTCTGGTTGAAAAGTTCTACTTGTTCAATTCCTTAACAATAGGAATATCACATGGCAAATTCCCACTCACATCTAAAATTTGATATGCCTTACAATTCTTCAAAGAATATCAGGCACATCAAATTTGGGGGGCAATGTTTACACCCTTATTTTTCACTTTCCAGTAGGAGATTACTTTGGTTGATTTCAATGGAAAGGTACTACCACATTCCAGTGGAAAGTATTGGGACACATGGCAGCTAAGGAAGCAAGCGGTTACATGCAAAGTCATAGGACACATGGCAACCTAGGAAGTGAGTGGTTATAAGTGGTTATATGCAAAGTCATGAGATACATGGCAGTCTAGAAAGTGAGTGGTTACAAGCGGTTACATGCAAAGTCATGGGACACATGGCATCCTAGGAAGCTGGTCGATTCCAATAGAAAGTTACTACGACATTCCAGTGGAAAGTCTTGGGAGACATGCCAGCCAAGGAAGCAAGCGGTTTTATGCAAAGTCATGGGACACATGGCAGCCTCGGAAGTAAGTGGTTACAAGTGGTTACATGCAAAGTCATAGGACACATCCTAGGAAGTGGGTGGTTACAAGTGGTTACATGCAAAGTTATGGGACACATGACAGCCGAAAAAGTTGGTCGGTCCAAAGGAAAGGTACTACGATGTTCCAGTGGAAAGTCTTGGGACACATGGCAGCTAATGAAGCAAGCGGTTAAAAGCGGTTACATGCAAAGTCATGGGACACATAGAAGCTTAGGAAGCAAGCGGTTACATGCAAGCTACCATTACTAAACTCTATAAATAGGGCATAATATTGTAACTTAGAAGGTCTGCTTAATGCCAATCAAACTACGTATTTCAATACTATCTTTACTTTTCATTACAATGCACTTTCAATATGATTAGTTTCAGTCCTGCACTTTACTTTTCATTAGATAATCTTACTTTCCAGTCAATTACTTTCTCAAGTAGTTCGTTCCTCCCTAGCCAGTTAACTTTCCCGAAGTCCTTTATCAAAGGCAAAAAGAACCCGGAGGTGGTCATTCCAGACCTCTTCACAATCGCCTGGTCCCGCAGTCTTCCTTCTGGAATATTGTTTGGATCTCTCTTTGGAACTATTGCAGTTCTTGGCACGCCCACCCGGTTCCATCGGAACCGACACCAACTTTTTCAAGGTTGAACACAAACCATTCTAAAGTCCTCTCAACTTGGGTTAACTGGCACGAGAAGGCTCTAACTTCCTTAGGATATAAGGTCAGGAAAGGTGCAGTTCCCTGATTATACGTGCAAGGACATCCAGTGTGAATAGTTTCCATAGGATCATAACCAAGGCTTGCTATGAGCTAGCTCGACTTTAATGGTTTAAAGAAAAGACCCCTTCGTTCGTGTCACCTGAATCTTCCTCGTATCGGCTGGCTATCCTTTCGTACTATGGGCTACGTAAAGGAAGCTAAACCTCCTAGTACCACACGTTGGGATTAATGGTGGCGGTGGCAATGGTTGTTCAGCGAGGGCGGAGGTGAATGCTCTCGCCGCTCAATTCATTCTCTCCATCTTCGGCAATGATGTCAATGGAGCCTGATCTTGATCTAACCCACGACGACGGCATTGTGAGATTGTGGCTTCAAGACGGCGGCAGCTTCTTCACAACGACAAGGGAGCTGCAATAGAGCCCCGAAGTGAGCGAAGCAGCAATTACAGTTGAAGATGACTCTGGGGACATCGATGGCATCGAATGGGCTTGCATTGGTGGGTACTCGAGAGAATCAAAGAGTTGTACTTCTTTTGTTCTGATCGCCACCGCGGAGACCACCATGAATCCTCTCTTATTGAGAATTCATACATTTCTTATTGGTATATGGACGGCTATCTCAAGGGCACAGTCGAAGAAATAAAATGTACTCCGAAGTTGTAAGGGAATTGTTTTCTCATTATATATATATTCAAAAGGTCATGTAAGTAACTTAACTGTTGATTAGGATTTTTTATTTTGGTAAATAACATTTATTTATGTGAGATTTGGACGGTGGAGCTTAAGACTCTAAAAAATCAATTATACCATTATATATAATATATTTTTATAATACAAAATAAATTATAAAATCTAAAAAAATCAATTATTTTATCTAATCTCTCTTGTTACTTTCTCTCTCCTCTCCAACACTCTTACCTTCTACTAATAATAATCTTGTAAAAAGAAAAATTTTTGAGTGTACCACACAAGAGGTCAAAGTAATAAATCTTAAACGCTTTATTTGTATGAAATTTACCCAAGCACTATAAATCTTAAACGTTTTTTTGTTTTTGTTTTTGTTTTAGGTAAGTACTGTTGACTAGGAATATTAATCCAAAGGAATCTCCTAGGATCTGCATTTTTTCACTTTCATCTCATAAATTACATCAACTTGAAAAATTACAATAAGGATTAATACTGAATAAGCGGGTATACGGAGGGATCATCCTTCTAACCCATAATAAAAGCTCTCTTTTTTATTACTATATTTGGAGTACAAATTATAAGTCATTTTCTGTATCATTAGTCTTCCACATTTATATGATTTCATGGAAAAATTAAATAATAAAAATAAATAAATAAATTAAAAAAATAGGAGCAAATGCAACAAAATGAAGTGAGAAGGTGAATCTGAATTCTGAACAAAGGGCTATAGAATAAAATATTTTATCATCGTGCATGTAGAGTATTTTGTTTGAATTTTTGTATTATTTTTTTTATTATACATATTAGCCATGATGAGGCCCAAACCCATTCCCTTAAAGAAAGAAGTTATACCATTGAACTAATGAGTATTGGCCCAAACATTGGTTTACAACAGTGGAGCCTTGTCGCTCGAGGAATCAAAGCACCTTGCTTCATTATCCTTGACAATTTTTCCTTCGTTGGCTTTCCCCCACATCACAGAATAGAACCCTATAACAATAACAATTGATCCAGCCAGACTGCAAAAATTTCAAGCATAACCGGTGAATGATCTGTCCATTAAGAAATAAAAACTTGAAAAACGAAGTCAATAGTGCTATCAAATTCAAAATCCAGACCACAAGGCTTCTAGCCCGAATGGTATAATCTCAATTTGTCCTTTCCAAATGGTCCAAATGGGAGGTTGAAAATTCTCGCCTGACTAGGTGTATTTTGTGGATATAGTGCGTGCGCACTTTAACTTCAGCAGAAAAACAAAAAAAAACCAAAGACACTCACACAAACACAATCCGGCACCATTTTCAGTAAGGGAAATAAGAGAGAATGCATTGCTTACCTTCCCAGATAGAAAGTATCTCCTAAGAAGACGATACCCATAGCTGCTGCAATGACAATCCCCAAGGGATGAAACATAGCAACAAAAAGAGGCCCTTTCCTAGGCAGGCACCACATACCAATACCAATTTGAAATCCGGAACCAAAAAATCCCTACATTTGTTACACACAGAAGGCACCAATTTTACATCAGGAACACAATGGAAATGTGAGTTATGCCATGTTGATTCCATTGATTATTATTTTATCTTGATGTTTAAAGAAAATTCGGATTGACGATTGAGACCAAATATGAGTTACCAGATACCTTATAAAGTCGTAATATTTATGGAGTTTTGAGTTATGTGCACCTTATTCACATGTAATCATGTGTCTTGAGATATGGATAAAATTATTTATCATGATACGGATTACATATGATAGGGTAATATGATAGACTCTTTGATGGGAGGAATATTATCAGATACTGCTTGGTCCCCATTCTCACATACACGTTCAATTCGGTTTAGTGTAGCCATATTGAAGAAGCATCTTAGCAAAAGTGGAGAGGGTAGAAGATCAAAGAAATATTCTATTGTTTCATTCATTGAGATTGCACATCGAAGCCGATGTGAAGAGCAAAAACAAATCAAAGCCGACGTGAGATAAAGAGCAAAACAATTGATTGGATTTATTTAGTTTCTAAGCTTCCGTAGGTATATTTAACCTAATTGTATTCCATTAGTGTGTCTTATGTATGCGTATGATATCCTAATTTAGTTTACACACGACACAAAAATATTGATATCCTAATTTAGTTTACACACCACACAAAAATATTTCAATGATCAAGACAATTAAACTAGTTTTATGTCCAAATTCCAAAATGAATGATGGATGAATGTGACAAATTACATTATTAATTGCTTACCGAGCATAGAATAGCAATCAGCCTCGTTTTAGGTTGTAAGCTCCAAGCACTTAGGTCTCTTTCGACAATCAAAGAGACTAATGGAGATAGAATGGCCACAAAGAAGCAGTAAAAGAAGACTACAATCATCTCTGCTTGGAATTTCTTAAGTATCAAGGCCTAAAAACAATAAGGATGATGAGTCACCGTGTCTTTTTTTACTGAAAAGTTCAAGCAAATGCGCACACACACCCACAACTTTGCCCTAGGAGGGCTTACCTGTATGATAACAAATGCAGAAGACAATACAGAATTAAACCCAAGGAGCAATCCTCCGATGACAAAGTTGTATTGTTGCATGAGAAGAGGCTGATCAGGGGAGTTTGAATGTGATGGTGTCATTAGAATATGGGGTCCCTTGTAAAGAGTTACAATGAATGCCCCTGTGATGGACACTATTGTTCCAATTGATTTGGCTATGGTACTTGAGCTTCTACCTTCTAATTTTTCCATCCTAAAATCACACAATTGAATCAATTCCAATCCATATATTTCAATAAATATGAAATCATACCAAAGAACCTATAACTTATTAATATTATCTCTCCTTCTCAAAAGGGGAGGTTGAGAATTGTAAATTAAAATCTTCTGGTAGTTAATGGAAAATATTCAAATAATATTTATTAATGTCTACTAATGAGAGAAACAAATAGAACAAAGCTCATCCCCTAACTGTTGCGAACACAAATTTTAAGTGATTCATTCAAAACTTAGGGTATGTTCACGATTTGCTAGATTTCATTATGTTCAGAAAAATAACAAAGAAATATAAAGAATTTAGAATGAACAAATACACTAGTACTGTGACATCTAACAAGAAGTGCGGAATATATTAAACTATTCTCCAAAAAAAGATGCAAGAGAGTTTTAACTTTTAATAGGGTCTCTCAATAGATCATTACTATACAACGTGACAGAAAATAGATGATGAAAAAAATAATACACCATAGAGTGGCTTAATTGTTTTTGAAAACAAAAACAATCCGTTTCTAATGACATTAATTGCTTTCGAAATTCAATCAAACCAACAGATAAAGAAAGGAAATTGGAAAGTATATATGTCAAATAAAAAATTCATCAATGTTCATTATACTAATAGTGAGATCAGAGAGTAGAACCTGAAAATGACAGCAAGTATGAATGTAAAACCTGGCATGAGGTTGAGCATCGCCGAGGCAAATGAGGCAGGGACATACTGAATCCCAGCTGTCCCAATTACTTGGGTTAAACAACTGTAAGAACTAATATTAGTTAAACCTCTTTTTAAATATGTGTTATACATATATGATATATGTATACTTCTATATAGGTATAATGGTATATACCAAAATATGTGCATATGTGTAATTACAGAGAGATGTCATGAATCATGATGAGGAAAATAATCTGAAAATAATATTTGGCTAAGAAAATTATTCTCTTTAAAAACTTATGAACTAATAATAAATATATATATATATATATATATATATATATATTGTGAAAAATTGACGAAGCCAAAATTATCAAGATTCATAAATGAACAATAAACAACTTTAAATTTACAAAATATAATTGAGGAAAGTCAACGACCTAGAAAAAAATAATAATAATAAAAATGAACGGCAATGAACACAATAAAATAAAATAAAAATACAAACTACCATAATAAACATAAAAAAAAAAAAAAAAAAAAAAAAAAACTTTAACATTAATTGATATTGTAATTAAGACTTGCCCATACTCCCATTTTAACTTTTTGATTATTATTAAGCTAACGTGTTAGAAACTTTTTTAGGTACATTTTATAGATAAAGAAAACTTTAGTGGGAACCACAAATATGTATATGATGTTTTATTAAAAATTTAGTAGGAGTATTATAACAATTTTAGCGAAACTATAGGTGCATAACATAAAGAGAACATACGGGTAACTTACAGAAAAGTGAAGTGTCAAACACTTTTCAAAATTATGAACTTTGACCAAAGCCTCATCTGCACTTGAAAAAATACTATACATATACCCAAATTATTCATAGTATATTTGGATACCATTATTGTGCATGTAAGTATTATTTTTGTACACATATGTATTACTTTTATATATGTATATATTATTTTTGTGCAAACCAAATAATCAAAATGGTCAGCACAAAATGTGTTTCTTACATGCAGAAACGTGATATCTCTGTACAAGAGTGATATATACCTACATAAAAATGGTATCTCTGATCAAAAGAACTTTTAATCACAAGAGTAGTATTTACGTACACAAAAGTGATCCATGAAAATACTAAGAATAATTTGGACAAATAAATAATATTTTTTCATATCCACATCATACTTTAGTTAAAGTCCACGACTTTGAAATGTGTTGACTTTGATTCCATTTGTGAATAAATAAACTTCCAAACCTCCACCTTTTTTTTTTTTTTTTTTGATAAATATTATTAAATCATGTATGTTATGAAAAGAAAACCTAACAAAACCAATCAGTTTAACCAAACTAAAATAATAAGGAAACCTGTCAGCATTAAAAAAGAAAAATTCCACTTATCTCCCTTAAGCTTTGTCAACATATCACATACATCTCTTTACATTTCATAGTCTCACTTACTTTCCTATCAAGAACAACTGGTCAATTTGGTAATATAGTAGTGTGTTATTTTACTATTTTGCTCATAAAAGTTTACAACCATTTTTGGCGCAAAATTGACCTTATATTATTTTTTGATGTTGACATCATCAACAGATGCTATTTTTCTCCCTCAACCGGAAAATATGTTAAATTAATCAGAATCTCACAAAAGGTAAATGGGATTATGAAATATAGAAAGGTCTATGTGAATTATTGATAAACTTCAGGTAATCAAGGTTTTGTAGTCTAGTAATATCTCCTTTACCTTTTAAAGTGATTAGTGATGGTTCGAATTCTCAAATGAGCAAAGTGGATGTGCGTAAGAAAAAAGAAAGAAAAGAAAAAGTGAGATCGAAAAAATTAAAAAAAAAAAAAGGGAATGAAAAACTTGATCACTAAAAATTATTAAATGCTAAAAAATAAGAATAATCTGAGTTGGTCTAGATCTCAAACAACAATTTTAAAATATTCAACCGTCTACCTCGGTTTTGACCCTAAACCACTCAATTTCGCTAAAAGAAAACCATGTGCCTTTAGCCGAAGCAAATGAGTAAGCACATGACTTTTGATTATTAGCTGGATTTGGTTGGAGGATGGGTCTCCTCGACTCAAAACGATCAAACCATACAACCCCCCCCCCCCCCCCAAAAAAAAAAAAGAATCTTTAAAACTGTCCTACGTAAATATAAAATAATAATTAAAAAACAAAAATTCCACTACAATTTCTATGTGGAAGTATTAGAAAACAAGCAATTACAAACCCAAGTAGTCCAAGCAGAAAAAATGCAGAGACAATAGAGAAAGTGAGCGGGGGACGATTTGATCTGCATGGATGAAAAACAGAGAGAAACATGAGTTTGTTACATGATTTTCATTGTTGTTCAATGAATGATAATCAATACAAAGAATCAAATTTTGTGTTCATATAATTTTGTATATATAGACTAATTGAGTGTACCTGTGGATGAAAAATGAAGAAGGAAGAAGAATGAGGGAGGCAATGACATTGGAATAGAAGACGAAGGCGTAATTAGTCATTCCACTTGACAGAGCTTCTTTGGCTACTATAAACAGCCCCACCTGCGCAAACTCAACAATCACCATACCCACAAATGGCAGTGCATCCTTCATCCCCATCCTCTCCTCTCTCTCTATGCGTGTGTGTGTGTGTGTTGTGTGTGTTGTGTGTGTGTGTGTATAGCCCAAAGCGCACGTAGTTGCATAGAGTTGAGCTAAACAGTTTGGGAGGACCACACGCCTTTCTATTCATATAAATTAAAAATATTAAATATCTGTATCTGATATATCAACTTTGCTTAAAATTTAGTAATATATCATGCATTATATATACAGATTATTAGTAAAACTCTTGTTGGATCCGCACTTATTTGTCTGCATCTTTTTCAGGTAGGAGTGTGACATGATTTGATAACGACACCTTAGGTCTGATTGGCTGATCAAGATCATGGCAATTTCAAAATATTTGGTAGGAGAGATGAGACATTTTGGATGGAAGCAAATGAATTTGAATTAAATGATATAAAATGGTAATTATTCATTTCTCCAAAGTCGTCTCTCTTTCTCTCCATTCAATATTGGTGTAGGGGACTCCAATAAATAGTGTTTAATAATTCTGATTTCAATAAACAGTGTTCGTTGTATATTCTTGTCAGTATTGAATGAGAATAGATTTTTTTTTTTTTCTTTCTTTAGTTTATAATATTTATTTTAATTCGGTAAAATAAATAGAAAAAAAAATCAAGGGACTTTAATCATTTTCTGTTGCTGATGTGTGAAATGCATTGTGTCCCACATAACATTTTGTACAAATGGCGAAGTCACTTTGAATTGAACTTCTTTGGCACAGTCAAAGCAAAGCTTCAGAAGAAATTCCAAGCACATTACTTGCCTTTCTCTTGAAGCATTGATCAAACCAATGTTCTTTTAATATACTAATCTCTCTCTCTTGAACTCTACTTTTCTTTTTTATCGTATTTTATTTCTTCTTTTATTATTTAATCACTATCAATGGGTGTCATTATGATGCTCCAATTGTTAACATTGTTTACCCAATTTCAAAATCAAGTTGCTGATACCCAACGTTGTTCAAGTCTTCAAGACTTGTTTGCGTATTATTTTTCCAATTTTTGAATAATAAACATTAAACATAAGTTGCCAACCATGGCATCAATTAAATTATATAATATCGCCTGCAGTGGGCTTGGTTTCTTCCTGGTGTATTCCATTGTTTGTGGCTCTCTATGTTTTTTTTTTTTTTTTTTGTAAGTCAACTTTATTCAAGAGGAAAAAATATATATATATATACATTTATATACACAAAGGCAAGCAAACTAACAAGCCACAAAAACAGAGGCCCAAAGGCAGAAACAAGGACCAAGGCCCAAACACAAGCCCAAAGACAACAGCCACCTAAACAACAAGCTACAACAAAATCACAGCAAAGCAGAGAAGACAGCAACTAACAAAAACCACTCAATCAGGTACGTTTGTTTCGCTCCTTCCACATTTACAAGCCGAGAAACAAATCCTACTTGTAATGGCAGCAATTGATTGACAATCAACATTCCATACTGTGTCAATCCATCTAGCTATGAATGTATGGCTACACTCACCACAGTAATTACCACAACTGTGGTTCTCTATGTTTCCGTTCCCCTTGCGTTGGGCCTAGAGGGCTTTTGTTTTTTGCAGTCAGTATTGTAGGCCATGTTTCATTGTTTTCGTCCAAGGATAGTGGTGACATGAATGAACATTGTCTTGGAGGTTAAATTTTTATTTATATGTTTTAAACTAAAAGAATGATGAGGAAAACAAGAAAAATAAAGCACAAAAAGAATGAAAACCGTTATGAATGTGCAAAAAGAAAAATAAAGCACAAAAAGAAAAGAAAAGAAAAAAAAAACACAGGTCTTTTGCATATGTTACAGCCGCCCATATAGAGGCCAGGCAAGTTACAAAACAACTCAAACAACAGCATAGAACAACTGCTTAAAATCAAGTCAATTGGGCCAGGTCCGATCCATGAGAGCAAATAGGATTACGTACTGTTGATAAAAACCAGATTTGGTGTAATCAATAGCTATACCACACAGTCCGGTGAGCTAGGGTTCCGTAACTCTATCGATTAGGGGCAATCGACGAACCAAAGGCTCAGTTATCACTGTCCGGTGATCTCAACGGCGGACGAGAGCGGGAAGGGGGACGTTGATAGTTAAGAAGATTGCTGTAGACACTAAAATTTAGTGGGCTTTGGTTTTAACAAATGGACCCATTAAATATAGGCCTAATGTTTAAATAAATTATTTAATTTACCAGGCTTGGTCCACTTAAATTATTTAATTAGCCCAGCCCAGATAATTAAATGAAACGATAATTATTCCTAATAAAATATATTTTGAATAATTATCTTTAAGGATAATTATCACAATATAATCGGCCCGACCCAATTATAGTTTTATCCTTATCAGGAGATGACACGTGTCATCATCCTATTAATCCAAGAAGCCTATAAATAGAGGCTTGGAGGAAGAAAAAAAGGAGAGGATTCAGAATTCAGAAGTCTACAAATTCAGACACAAATTCAGAATTTAGAAGTTCAGAGACTCAGAAATCCAGAGACTCAGAATTCAGACACAAATTCAGAATCGAAACCCAAAAGCGAAGAACATCAAGCACATCCAACAACGTGCCGTTCTTCATCAAATTCCACAGTGATTCAAGAACAAACTCGTGCAGCCCTTGGATCCAACCAACCAAAAACAAGGAGATCGAATCAGATGACCATTCTTTTTTTGTAAAAGATATTACAAAGGACTGTACTCCACATTCATAAATTAATAAAATTCTATTTTGCTCCATATTTTGTTTCTATTACAGAATTACAAAATTTGTGTGTACAAATTTGTGGCACGCCCGGTGGGACAACCTTTGCCTCTCATCTCTTTCTCCTGCCATCAAGTTTCTTCTCTATCAGATTCTATGGCTCCCCCTAAGATTCAGACAGACAAGAAAGCCCAAAAGAACAACGCTATTGCAAAGGTCGACGCTAAAGCCACCATGAAAAGTGGCACGAAGACCAAATTAAGCGATGGAAGTACCTTGACGGGCCCTGTGACACGTAGCAAGTCCCAGGCGATGGCGTCATTCAAACTTCAGCAAGATGTGGTGAAAACTAATCCTGCAACACCGGCGAACGTGAAAACTCAACATGTCAAAAACCTTGACATTGTTCCAGAGGAGGCTCCACCACCAGATTCACTTCGTTCTATCTATGATGCTCACTCTAGTGTCGGTTCACCCCCAGAGTCACCACGTCAGACTTCGGAGCAATCAATCACTTCAAGGAACGTGGATTCTCAAGGCCTATCATACTCAGATGTGGTTGCTGCTATGATGACTGGAGCTGCTACGGTGGAGGAACAACTAGCAACTATGGCTCATTCCATTGAGAACCTCACAAAGACTATTGAAGAAAAGGACTTACAAATCGCTACACTAATGAATAAATTGGAAGTTCAGACCTTCGGTGAAACACCAATGCCATCCGGGAATCATGCAACTTTCACACCACCACCGTCTGGGAAACCTACATCTTCCACAGCAATACTAACGGAGAATCCTAATTCTACAGCACAAGGTACTCACAGGGAGAATCCCAAACAGACGCCGGTGACAGAACAAGCGACCAGTCAAAACCAGATGCCGGGGATAGGACAGGCGACTGGTCAAACCAATCATACCTCTTCTTCAGTCTCTTCATTATCTGTCGAACAATTGCAAGATATGATAACGAATACAATCTGAGCTCAATATGGTGGTGTCTCACAGAGCACTCTCATGTACTCAGAGCCCTATATAAGGAGAATCGACAGTATGAGAATGCATGTAGGATACCAACCTCCGAAGATTCAGCAATTTGACGGAAAAGGTAACCCCAAGCAACACATTGCCCATTTTGTCGAGACTTGTAACAATGCCGAACAGAGGGGGACTTACTAGTCAAACAGTTTGTCCGGTCCCTTAAAGGAAACGCGTTCGAGTGGTACACTGACCTAAAGTCAGAATCAATTGATAGTTGGGACCAGATGGAACGAGAATTCTTGAACAGGTTCTATAGCACTCGTCGTACTGTTAGTATGATAGAGTTGATTAACACGAAGCAATGGAAGGATGAGCCTGTAATCGACTACATTAATCGGTGGAGAGCCCTCAGTCTTGATTGCAAGGACCGATTGTCAGAAGTATCTGCTGTGGAGATGTGTATGCAGGGAATGCATTGGGGCCTGCTCTACATTCTGCAAGGCATAAAACCTCGCACATTTGAGGAATTGGCTACGCGTGCCCATGACATGGAGATCAGTATGAAATCCCATGACGGCAAAAGTCCCGTGACTATAGAACCACGCAGAGATAAGAAGGACTGGAAGAAGGGCGACAAGTCATCAAAAAATGCGGCTAAAGATTCAATGGCTATCTCAACCACCCCAATCAAGATATCTGTTAAAGATGACAAGAAGGATGATAAAAAGCGTCGCGAGTTTCAAGAGCGGGAAAGACAGCGTCCTACGCTAAAGGAGTTAGAGAAGAAAGAATACCCCTTCCCCGATTCCGATGTTCCTGGCATCTTGGAATGTTTACTTGAAAGTAAAGTTATAGAACTCCCTGAATGCAAACGTCCTCCAGAGATGGGACGTATCAACGATCCAAAATACTCCAAATATCATCGCATTATCAGTCATCCAATTGAGAAGTGTTTTATCTTCAAGGAAGTGGTGATGAATCTGGCAAAACAAGGAAAAATCTTGTTGGATACAGACGAAGTTGTAACTTTAAATCATACTACTGCTACTTTGACAACCTCTGTCGTGGGGAGTGCTCGTTCTCAACCTTTAACTTCGGAGGTATCTTGCACAACTATCCAGTTTGGTTCATTGGAACCAATCCCAATCTATATTGGCCAAGGGAGTGTACGTGATATTTCAACATTTGGAAGGGTTTTTCCTCAGGATGATGAAGAAGGATGGACTCTGGTGACAAGAAAGAAACCACGGAAGCAATAAGCTGATATTTTTCAGACTAATTATTCTCACAGAGGGCAAAGGAAGAAGAAACCCCAA